TGCTTTTTCTTCTTCTTTTTTTAATCTCCCTTAATTCCACGTCATCTACCTTTTCACCCACTCCAGGCTTACACGTGGCAATTATCGTCTCGTGAAACACAATTAGGGCTTGTCTGGCTGGGGTGTTCTGTATTTTCTTTTTAATTATTAATTATTATTTATTTGGGATTTTAAAATTGAAAATAAGCACACACACAAAATAATAATAATAATAATAATAATAAATAAATAAATAAATAAAAATCCCCACTTGGGTATTTGTTTATTTGTATAAATGGAGTTGAATTGCAAGAAAAGAAGTGAGCTTTTTGTAAAGTTTTTATTTATTTATATATTTATTTAAATTAATTAAATATACTGAAAAAGTATATTCTTTTCTTCTTTTTTTTTGGTTGCCTTTTGTGTCCCCTCTTGAGATGAATATGTTATATGTACATGTCATTGCCTCACTGTCAAAATCAAGTCACTACAGAATGAAAAAGGAAAAGGAAGTGAAAAATTTAATGAGCTCGGTTGATAGCGGTTGTAACTCTCGACCGTCCTTATCACTGCTAATTGAATACTAGTAACTTTGTTTGGGCTAGACTAGCTAACCATAAAGAATCCATCGGAACGATTTACCACCCACCAATCCATTCATACTCTTGAATCGAAACATTCATTATAGGAGTGTTGAAAACTCTCCCTAACATAAACGTTTTAAAACTAATGCGCAATACATAACGAGTTAAAGTGGATAATATCTGCAAACGATGGACTTAGATCATTACATGACATCAATTATTATCCATGTAAACCACTAACGCTCCCACTCACATCATAAGCTCACTATGACACAATACTCTAGCATAAAAAAATACATAATTAAAATCTATAAAAAAAATTAAATATTAAGCAAATTTCAAAAGATTAAACCCACAATTCAAACTGAAAAATACATCAATTTTGATTATAAATAAATAAATAAAAGTAAAAAAAAAAATAAAAAAAAAAAAAAATTGGGAGAAGAGGAAGTTTGTGCTTTTGAGAAGAGAAAGCCACGCGCGGGCGCGAGTATTAAAGAAAGATGGAGTGGCGTGCACAGAAGAGCTTTTAGGGGGATTCAGGTGATTAGGACAACTGTGCCACGTGGCAACTAGTTCTAGCTACTTTCCATTATTTTTATTTTTATTTTTATTTTTATCATTACTATATATTTTTAACCATTACCTTAAACTTTGTTAAACATCTAATTATATTACTCAAATTTGAATTATTATGATTCTATATAGTCTTCGTGTTTCAATTTCGATATGAAACTGTGACGCTCGAGTAAAAGAGGCCTACATGAATAAAATAATATCATATTCAAATGAGACCAATTTTAATAATACCATAGTTAAGAAAGAATTTTAATAATACCATACTAAAAATGTGTACTTTTTTCAGGTGACTCAATCGTAAAAACCTTAAATTTAAGCATGTTAAAATGACTCGGGTTGGTCTGTAGAGCTAATATGATCATGTCTTAGGAAATTTAGGCAATGCCGAAACTATCGGGCGTCGAATTTGTAATATATCATGGCTTATAAATAAGTAATAGAGGAAAATAGATTAAAATTTTTAATTTAAATATGAAAATAAAATTTTTAAAAAATTTAAAATTTATTAAACACCAAAAATAAATTAAAGATTTATAAGATATTTTGTAAGCTAGGAAGAGATAGATATAAATAAAAATATTTTTAAAAAATCGAAATTAAATAAAAAATAATAAATTTAGAAATTAGAAGTTATAATTTGGTGGTAGCGTGTGGGACAGTGTTAAATCGGTAGGATGGACACGTGGGAACACGGACCACACGTACGACACGGAAGAAAAGTGGGCCAAAGTGAAACTATTTGGGCTGGGCTCCGCCGTCTTACATCAAAATTAGGCCCACTTCCAACGCACGTGCGCCCACGACGCGGTCGTGTCTGTTCATTTTTACATTTTTTATATTAAATTAATATATATATATCAGTAGGGCTATCTAGAATCTGAATCCGTTAAAACCAAGTCGGTGCAGCTGGGTGGGCCCAAAACAATATTATTATTTATTATTTTAAAAATCGCTTTTTCATTTATCTATTCATCTGATTAGATGAGTAAAATGACAATTTAGTACTTTTATATGCATCAGAGCCGTCCATTTTGGGTGGGATGATGGAAATAGCATTTATTATTATTATTTATTTTTAGCGTTTTTTTAATCTTTTATATCTCAAGAAAATTAACATCGTTCATTCACATTAACGGTATAATAATTTAGTTGAGTTGTTACAGAGTTCTAGGTAAGTTAGGTGTCGTGATTAGTATGTGATGTAGCTGATATATAGGTGTAGAGTACAACAACGTACTGTTATGACTCTATGGATCAAACATTTTAATTTATTGGATATGACCTTTTCTTAGCCTCGTGTTTGTTGTTAGTTTTACTCGAACAATTAGGTTTCAGCTACTTGAGCTACGTGATTGGTTTAGACCGTAATTCACATGGATCGATCAAATATGTAAGTTGACCTAGACTAATTAGTAGATACTGAGTAGCAAGCTATTTAGAAGAAGGAAACAAAACCCGTAAGTTGACCTAGACTAATTAGTAGATACTGAGTAGCAAGCTATTTAGAAGAAGGAAACAAAACCCGATTCATCTTTAGTTTCAAGATCGTGGGACTAGGTAGCACGTGAGATTACAAGCAAGAGAGGCATTGGAAGAGAATAATTGAAAGAGAAATTGGAAAGTGCGTGTGAGGAAAGAAAGGCATTGGGAGGGGGCCCATAGCCATAAATTGAAAGAGAAATTGGAAAGTGCGTGTGAGGAAAGAAAGGCATTGGGAGGGGGCCCATAGCCATAAAAATGGACAACTTCCCTTCACCAAAACACACCCATTTGGCACCAAAATTCAACGCTTTTTTCACCCTCAATTTTGCCTATTTCTTAGTTCTAAACTTGTTTTTCTTCAAAGGATTTACCTAAAAATGATAATATTAATCACGTCTTCCCACTGAAATAAAGGAGGAAGCGATTTGAATCGTATTAGTTCGAAACATAAGTGGTGCATGGGTTAAAAGTCGAAAAAGACAATCATGGGAAGCACCAATGTAAAAAAGGGGGAAATTGGGAAGAAGAGTTATGATTGGAGTGGATTGGGTTGGGATGGTATGCCATGCCATGCATGCAATGTTACAAAGATCAAGAAGGGATTTGGGGAATCTTGATGAATCATAAATGCCATGCCATGCATGCAATGTTACAAAGATCAAGAAGGGATTTGGGGAATCTTGATGAATCATAAAAATGAAAGCCAATGGTTTCTTAGTTGTAATGTGTGTGATAATTCCATGCATTACCCTTCAACTCAATTATTCATGTTTCAATATTCTCATCATTGCATGATGCTCATCTGTCATTTTGCCATAAAATATAATACATAATCAAAATAAAAATTTTAAATTGGTCGGCTTGTTGCTGTGGTTCGTTGACCAATCTTAGCGCGCGGGTACACAAAAAATAGAAAGAAACTGTTTTGTCGGTTACTTTTATGGGCTGATTGGGTTTGTTTTCGGCCCATTTATGCTGTGTTTCTTGGGCTTTAGCCTCATTGGAAATAAGGCCCAGCAAGAAACAGAGATAAGAAAAATGTTGACAAACAATAAAAAGAGAACTTGCTCTCGTTGAGAGTCGAACTCAAGACCTCCCGCTTACTAAACGGGTGCTCTAACCAACTGAGCTACGAGAGCTGTGCTCAAACATTTATTATTTTACTTAATTCTTTCATAAAATTATTTGACTATAATTGAATTTGCATCATTTAAAAAATGTACGTTTAAAACTGAACACTTATTAGGCGAGTAATATTCTTTGAATACTTTAACTAAAACAATCTTATAGCTTTTTCTGTTTTTTTTTTTTTATTAACAAAAATATTACACTTTTTACCACTATAAAATTTTAACAAAACACGAGAAACTCCAAAAGGCATGTCAAAACTCGAGCACAGTTGATAAAAAGAAATCGAATATCAAAGTTCATTGGATACTCAAATCAGAATTATCCACATGGTAAAAACCAAATTCAGCCCTACACCAAACTAATGCAAGCCACCCTATAAACCTTGAAATATCCATCTCAAACTTGATGGATCGTTATTATATATAAGAGTTTCAAACACAACAATCATGACACACCATAAGTGGTGCGCTTCCATCTGTTTACATAATAATGAAAACGTAGAAAATGTATTCAACATACTCTTAAAACGGAGCACCAATTACATTTTATCACATCAACTGTTAAAGACTCTGTTAATACACAGCGAGATCGTAGTTAACATACTAGATATACTTTTCACCAATATCGTGGGGGCAGTGAAAGTTACAAACCTAACCCACAATTTGATGTAAAAAGAGCAAAAAAGGGGTGGGGCGGGGCGGGGCGGGGCAGGGTGTTGTTATTGACAGCAGTTTCTCTGTTGTTGCAACCATCATCAAATCCCCATCATCACTCATATCCCAACACAAGGAAGGAAGAATAGAGACTAGTTCCACCATAGGGGGAGAGGATTGACGCTCCCAGAATAATAACTATATCCTAAAGCCAATCCTCATTTCAATCGTAATGTTACTATCAACATCATTCTCCCTGTACAAAACCCTTTATATGGTCAACATATAGAAATTCAGAAAAAGCCATGGATGCCATATAAATTTTCACGACACTTCGAAGAAGCGAGTTTCTTTGGTAATCCCACATTTGAGCATCATGCATAACATTCTTTTCCTTATCGTCTCCAGGACGAAGTATGAGATGCAAAAAATCTGTAATCGGGATGGTTCACGTTTAATGACTTGAGCCAGTTGTCGGCATCTTGCCACAATGTGTTAGCCTTTGGACATTCCTCCACACCAGTTGAATTCCAAAACGAAAATTTAAACTTGTAGGAAGCAAGTCCAAATGTTGGCAACTGTAGTTAATGCCTGTTCCAAACACAAGCATCATGATGCCCATTTGAAAATGTTCTTACAATGTCTATCTTATAAATGAAGTTCGTGCAAAATAGCACAAGTTAACTGCAAGTTATGAGTTGATTGTCTTACAGGCATATTTCGGCCTTAACTAACAAAATAGGTTTTCAAAACTATATTCCAAACACTCAATCGATAAATTTTTTTACTCAATCTTCCTGCCACAGCTGATGTTTTCCCATAATACAGCCATTACAGGTGATCGAAACTACAATCATACCTAACTACACTTGACTGTAGCCATTGAAATCAATTTACCATAAACCAATCCACTTTGATTTTAAACTAAACAGAACAAAAGGCACATAGAATATAAACTGGCCCAGAGAATTAATTGATGACATATATGCATAACAAAAAATAAAAATAAAAATTAAATTAAGCGAGGAACTACCTTGAAATGCTGTAGACAGAGAATGGAAGGTCAAAAAGCAAGCATCTAGACTTTGTAGAGTTGGACCCGTGGGAATCCTATAAATTGGATACCTTGAGAGAAAAAATTACTATGTCAGAGCAAAGTAACAGATCTGGATCATAGAGTAACATATAATCCGGAGGGGACAAGACATACCATGCCACAGATATCCAACTGGAAGGAGATAAATCACAGCTTCTATATGTTTTCAATTCAGGAAAACGAGATGCAAGGATAGTGATCTGTCGAATGCGAGTTAACGTTAGTAAAAATGAAGAGTGCTCTCATGTAGTACACCTAAATAAAAATACACACCTTATCAGTTAATGGTTCACGACAAAATGGTGGATCAAGCTCCATGTATTCAAACACAAGCTGACCTTGACGGCAGCAAGAGTCACTTTCATCACTTGATGACTCGGCAGAGGGTACATTCATTTGTAGCGCTCTCTGTGACCCAGTAACACTGGAGTCCTGTATCCACTCATCCTGAAGAACCGTACTAGCTTTTTTTTCCATCCCACAATTACTGCTTTCATCACTAGTTGTTTCCTTTGAGGACTCAGCATCAATATCAGCACCACGCCTTCTACTACAAAAAAACAGTACCAAATTACATATTCACTTGCTACTCCCATATACTCAATTTTAAACAACACTTTATGTAAATATCACACATGATGATACAAATTCACAATACCCAGAAAACCCATGACCTTGCAATGGTTACCAGCTCAAAAATAATAACACCACATCCATATTAATAAATCTATAATTCACAAATAATTTAGGATAAGGCATTTTTGTAAAAAGAAAACATAAATGATCATTAAGGAAAAAGCTTAATAGAAGAAAATAAAAAAGAAAGTTGAATGAGACGGTGAAATAATTAACGGCAAAGTAGGTTAGTTAGTGTCAGACAAATGATGAACTCATATAAAGACATGCTAACTGCTATATTTTCAACCACAAATGATGACCATCACATTCATTGTGCAAAGAAATAATTATATGAAAGAGGGGAAAACAAAATTACCAACACATTCAAACTATTATATGCATATATTGTGAAACCCAAAGTGGATTTGTTCAACACGCATCCACATACGATGAGTGATATATAATACACATATATCAATACCCAACACCTTTCAACACAATTGAAGATCCCAGGGCAATAACAAGCTTACGAACTAAATATTAAAAAGATCTGCATATTGCATCAGGATGCAGAACAATAAATATAATGAAGCTTACGAACTAAATATTAAAAAGATCTGCATATTGCATCAGGATGCAGAACAATAAATATAATGAAGCTAGCATTCCTAGGAATGTAATGTAATCAAAAATCATAATTAGATAGGAAATGAGAATAGAACGGTAAGTTAACAAAATACGTTGCTAGAACCGAATAAGAAATAAGAGAACATGAAGCTCAATGAATAAGGTAAGTTAACAAAATACGTTGCTAGAACCGAATAAGAAATAAGAGAACATGAAGCTCAATGAATAATCCTCACCTTAAGGCAGAGGATTTTGATGGATCCACATAGAGTTGTATGCCTGACAGATATGGAACGTAGTACTGTACTACAGAGTCGCTACCATTTAACAATAGAGGGATACCCGCTCCATATGCACTCCATTCCTTGAAAGATTCCCAGAGATCACCGAGCACAAAATAAGGAGGTGCCTCTGAGACTTCACGATTTCTCCATCCCTTTAGGCTCGTCTAAGGCCAACATCGGAGCAATTTAATGATTCGAAAATTTGAAGTAAATTCAGATTCCAAATAAAAGCAACTTAGCAAAGATCAGTATGCAACTTAACAGGACGTTGNAAAAAAAAAAAAAAAAAAAGGAAATTAAAAGAAGAAACTAACACTAAAGTTAAAGTGATCAAGTAGACAATGTAGAAGTACAAAAGAGAAGGGGGAAGGGCCTTAAGAATAATACTAAAGAAATCCATTGAAGAAAATCAAAGAAGATAAAACGCAAAACGAAAAGGAAGATTCCAACATCTTCGTCAAGATAAATCAACTAAACCATAAGATCCTCCTGAACCTAATAATTACAAGAACCATAATCGCAGAAGTTCATACGCGAAGACTAACCAACATCAATTTCCATCATAATAAGGCACTTCCAAGTCCACCAAAAAAATGAAACAATTGACCTAAAAAACAAACTACCAACATCAAGTAAAAAAAAAAAAAAAAAAAAAACACTCGCTTGACCAATCATTACCTTAGAAAAATATTGAGCCGGAACAACGGGAGTAGTGTACTCCAAGAACCGATCCAAATTAGTAGAATCAGCAACTCCACGATCAGAAACAGAGCAATCCGAGCGAGTGGACCAAGAACGACACTCAACGACCTCACTCTTCTCCAACTCATCGATCCTCGCAGTAGTAGCAACAACCTCAGAATCCAAGGCAGTTTTCTTCTGCTGCTGTTGCTGTTGCTGTTGTTGCTGTTGTTGTTGTTGCTGCTGCTGCTGCTGCTGCAAACGACGCCGCATCGCAGGTGGATGATAGAACCGATTCTCCCCACGGATTCGGGCAATCGAAACACCACCGGAGACTGACATTGCAGAAAACTACAGAGAATCAAACAAACACCAAAACCGTGGCAGCGTACACAAAAGGAAGACCAGGTTTCCTTGGATACAAACAGTGATAAAGACGATGAAGAAACTAGGGTTTTGCAAAATCTAGAGAGGGAAGATAGCTAAGAGAAACCCTTGAGCCCCATTTGTTGGAATTAAAGAGAGAAGGAAGGGAGAGGATTGGATTAGAAAGGGAGATTTTAGGAGCAGACGCGTCCAGAATCATAATTTTGAACCACTTTTTATTCATCTTCCTCACCTATCTCCGTATCCCTTGCGTAATGGCTGTGGGGTATCTGCCTCTCAAATTACCCTTTTCTCCTTCCATCTTTTCCTATAATTGACGGATTTGTCCTTCCCAGTTTGACATGCCCGGTATCTTCCTGCCTCCAGTCATTTTGGGCTTTAATGGGCTTTAATGGGCCGCTTTTCCGACCCAATCAATGCCTCAAATATGGGCTTTTATGAACCCAATTAATACCTACTAAACTTCAAGGACAAAAATGTCTTTTGCCCTATTTCATTTGATGTCGATCCATATATCATACAAGTTAATTAATGATTCAATAGGATTATAGTTGATTTATTGTTTTAATTATTGATAATCAATGTGAGTTCGTTAATTATACACCGTGTTAAGACATATTTCATAAACCAGTTAACAATTAGTGCGTGGGTGGTGTCACGATTATACTTGTCCAGAACGTGTTGCCTATAGCTGCCTGTCCTGACACGTCAAACCCTTTCTACTAGCTTTCATTTTTTTATTACTTTCTTAGTGCATCTTCTATTGTCCAACCATTCAACCAAATCATATCTACTCCGGTCAGACTTGAATCGCTTCAAAATGTATTATATGGACTCACCCAAGTAATCATCAAACCTACCCTTATCAAGTATTGTAATCGTTTTTGCCTACATGTTTTCAATGCAATTATTTTTCTCTCAAAACATGGCTCGAAGCTCTTTTATACATACGAATGGCCCGCAACTTACAATTTTTACACAGCTGATTTGGTCGCTAGATTAAATTAGAACAAATGTTGCACAATTTTCGTCTTGGCCACGTAGTTTGAAGGGCTCGAATAGCCCTATATTCATAGTTTATCAGGTCAGTATCATTTTAAAAACGAGCTACAGCCAAGTCCGTGGATTAGGCCGCATCTTCGAATGAACTCAAAAGAGAGTCCATGAATGTAAAACCCTCTTCATTGATTTCCTGGTTTATAAGATTCTTTCCAAAATGGTCGGTCATGGATTCCTTGCATGTCCCACACCCTTTTGTTTTCCCCCCTTTTAAATATTCCCATCCCCTCTCTTCTTCTTTTGCTGCTCTCAGTAATCCCTCTCTTTGTGTTCTTTCCCCTTTCCTCTCCCTCATGATTCCCGAGCTCGAGGTATTCTTCCTCTTCTTCTTGTTCTTGTTCGTGTTCGTATGAACTATCATCATTTCATTCATTTTTGTTCTTCTGCAGAAACCGAAGATTCTTGAGATAAAGGTCCGAATGGACTGTAATGGGTGTGTTCAGAAGATCAAGAAGGCGTTGTATGGAATCAATGGTGAGTTAAATGAACCGGGATTCTTTGTGTTTTTTGTTTTTCACATGTTTGTGTCTTGTTCATCGATTTCTTGGCCTGTTGCAGGCATTTACGATATCTACATAGACTTTCCCCAACAGAAGTTGACAATCATTGGATGGGCTGATCCAGACAGAATCATGAAAGCCATTAAGAAAACCAGGAAGATAGCCACCATTTGTTCCGAGTATGAACAGGCAGATCCACAAGCTTCTACTCAACTCCCTGATAATCCACTGCCTTCTGGTGGCGAAGCGGAAGCTCCTACTCCGTCGCATGATGTGGCGATGGTCGATGGGCTACCTGGACATTCACACGCTGAGGTAGCACCTGGCCAGACGACCGTCCACGAAGCTCATTCGGGCCAACAGTTTGATTTGACCAATGCTACCAACCAACAAGCAACACAGCCTCTTGGCTCACATGAGGTCGGACAGGTTCATGTTACTCACAACCAGCCATCACAACACGGCCATGTCGTCCATCAAAGTTCCTTGGAACCCGGTGATGTCCACCACCTAGGACCAGAGTCTGGCCATGTCGTCTCACATCAACCTGAGAATAGCCATGTGGCTCATCAACTACCAGAACATGGCCATGTAGGCCATCAACAGTCACCCATCAACGGGTACGTGGTTCACCAACATCAACCTGAGCATAGCCATGTAGTAAGCCATCATCAACCACCTGATCACGGCCACGTAATCCACCAACAGCCACCCGAGCATAGCCACAGCCACCCAACTGAACACAGCCATGACCATGTAGTCCAACACCACCAATCCGAACAAGGCCATGGACGCACCTCAAGCCACAACTACCACCACAATATCCCACGAACAATTCACGGGTCGACATCGACACATCCAATGACAGTGATACACAGCTACAACACATACCAGCCATCACCATACGTAACAGAGTACATCCGTCCATTGACAACCCACAGGCCCTCCCCATATGCCTATGAATACATACCACAGCAGTCATCCTCCACCCATTATAGCCCGAGAATGGACCGTTACAATGACGACTATAACAACACAGGCATAAGCAACAACAACAATGGGAACATCACATCAATATTCAGCGACGAGAATCCGAACGCTTGTAATCTAATGTAAAGTAAATTGAAGGGGAAGTGATTTAATGAAGGAAGAGTTTTTGATGAACACGCAAGAGAAGAACACGAATAAGATTCCAAACGTGGGAGTGGTGGGAGAATCTGATCCTAAAATTCTAACTTTTTGATGATGGGTTGATATGATAAACCAGGTGAAGAACATTCTTGTAAAGGCGACGTAGGGAATCTTGTAAAGTTGTAAAGATTTTTATGGCTTCAATGGCTGACAGATGTTTACAGAAACAATGATTTTTATAGCTTTAATACTTTCTGATATATAACAGTCAACCCGAGAGAATGAATAGTTCTCGACTATCAATGTGGGATCTCACAATCCACCCCCTGGGGCCCAACGTCTTAGCTGGCACACCGTTCGATGCCTAGCCCAAATCCATCACTAGCAGATATTATCTTTTTTGGGCTATCCCTTCTATGTTTCCCCTCAAGGTTTTTAAAACGCGTTTGTTAGGGAGAGGTTTCCACGCCTTTACGAGCAATGTTTCGTTTCCCACTCCAACCGATGAGGGATCTCACAATCCACCCCCTTGGGAGCCCAGCGTCCTCACTGGCACACCGTTCGGTGTCGGGCTCTTATACTATTTGTAACAGCTCAAATCCACCGCTAGCAGATATTATCTTTTTTGAGCTATCCTTCTAGACTTTCCCTCAAGGTTTTTAAAACGACACCCTGATAAGCAATGTTTCATTCCTATTTCCAACCGACGTGGAATCTCAAAGTTTATTCATACGACCACGTTACACCAACAGAAAACATAAAAAGGACAAGATGACATCTGGTCAATTACACAGCAGCAGCATGTGTCAGATTCCAATACTAAATTTAGAACAAGCAATAGTAAAAACACAATCGACCATGTGAATAAGGTCTGAAAAATTCAAAATATTTTAATCCACAATCGACCATCTGAAGAACAATGAAAGACGGTGTACATTCAAACATCAGTAAGAGACAAACCAATAAGAAATCGACATGTGGAAAATGTCATGACAAAAAAACACCCAGCTTAATTCACTTAACAAGCAGCAAAGTGTCACCAAGATCCCTTTATTCCAATCACTTGGCTTCACATGAATTGCTTTTCACATCAACAAGAGTTTTATCCTTTCAGCTCTTCACAACAAATGAACAATTTACAGTGAACTTACAAAGCACCAAGCTCTTGAGGGGGGGAGAGGGTGATGGGAATAATTTTAAAAAAACGCAACACAAACGAAACCGAAAGACCTGTAAAAATCACTACCAAAAATTTCCTTCCACGTGAATGAAGAAATCGAACTGTACAAATAAATCTGCAGACCGAAACATGAACGAACGCAATTCTAAGAGAATGAAGAAAACAAGTAATCTAGACATGTGGTTTTTATTTGAAAGAATCTTGCTTGACTTGGAGAAGACAAGGGCTGAAAATATATATTGTTGTACCTTGGATGGCAAAGGCTTCATAAAACAGCAGCTTTTCCAGCTGAATTCAGAAGGGAAGTCGCTGCTAATGAAGAAATTGAATATCGAGTATCGAGATCAGAACAGGGCGGCGGGATCACGGATTCCGAGTACCCAGAAACATCTAAACAGATCCAAGAAGTGGAAGAAGATGAATTCATTGAAAAGGTAATGTTGGATAAATAGATTGAAGTGAAGGGAGATTCCTGTAGCCCAGTGAAGTTTCCAGCAATGTTAATGTTTGTGCCTCTAACGTTCTGCAACGTTATGTCCTGCACGATCGGAAGTGCGTTAGGATCGAACTCGTCGTCTGGATGTGACCCGAAATGACCTGAGGCACTGAATCCCGTGGATATGTTTTCCATTTCAACATCTGATATAACTATTCCTTTAATGTAACCTCCTCTTCCCTTGGTAGTTCTGAATTCAATGCCAGTCATCTGATATAACTATTCCTTTAATGTAACCTCCTCTTCCCTTGGTAGTTCTGAATTCAATGCCAGTAGACGAGTTGTACAAGTGCACGTGCTCGACAAGGACATTAGATATCCCACCAGACATCTCGCTACCAAAGGCAATTGACGAACCTGAAGACGACTGAAGGTGGACGTTTCTGATGTGTATGTTCTTAGATGGTCTGCCATAGGCTATACCATACTGATCCCAGCCACTCTTCAAGACGATGGCGTCATATCCTGTGGCAATGTTGCAGCCCTCTATGCATACATGATCAGAAGAATCTGAAAGCACCAATCAAATTTTATTTAGAAAAGGCGTCGTCGCCTTATTAATTACAAGCAAAAATGAATGAATCGCATCGTACTTCTAGATTTTAATTCCGGGTTTGATAATCATTAATGAATCCATGAAATGTACGTCTAAACTTTACCCCACAATAAATTATTCTAATCATGATGCTATCCCACTACATGTCGAAAACTCCTTCTAAACTTTACCCCACAATAAATTATTCTAATCATGATGCTATCCCACTACATGTCGAAAACTCCTAACGAGTCATCTTTTCTAGACTCAGACCCGAATCATAAGAACTTGGTTAATTGGAACGTCGTTAAAAGACATGTCATCTTTTCTAGACTCAGACCCGAATCATAAGAACTTGGTTAATTGGAACGTCGTTAAAAGACATTGTTTTCCTTAAACGAGCTAACGACATTTAGCAAACTGCCCTTGATATCTTTCTCGATGGAATCTTCTTCTGAGCACTACGTGGTGTGTGTGCGTGAGAGACACAGAGAGAGCGAGAGATCAATTAAAGGAGATATTCTTCAATGGTGCTCGAGCCATTCGGCCAGAGGAACCCACACCAATAGTCGGACAAATGACAATGAGGAAGCTGAGAAAGCATTACAAACCTGGGACTATTCCAACAGTGTAGGGAGATTCAGAAGGTGCAGAGACAGAGATGTTGAAAACATAGACATTACTGCACATGAAACACTTATGTTTCAATATAGATTCGCTCACGATCAACAAATAAACATACGAATAAGGTGAACCGGACGAGCAAGGGCAGAAGAAACTGAATTCTAGTAGCTACGTTACGACATACCTGCAGTAAACTGGATGGATATTATAAGCAGGAGTATTCAAGAAACTGAGGTTCGAAACGGACATACCTGCAGTAAACTGGATGGATATTATAAGCAGGAGTATTCAAGAAACTGAGGTTCGAAACGACTACATATTCCGAATCCTCAAATTCCACGAGGTGAGGACGGCTATAGTTTAAGGAATGAGAGGTGAACCAATCCCACCAAACCAAACCCTGTCACGAGGTGAGGACGGCTATAGTTTAAGGAATGAGAGGTGAACCAATCCCACCAAACCAAACCCTGTCCATCAATGACACCATCATCACCTAGCACATCGAAAATCAAGACAATAACACGTGTTCATAAGAGTGAATCGCATACGCACAAACTAGATTCTAAATCAAGCATCGAACAAATAACAAACCTGTTATTANACAAGCAGCAAAGTGTCACCAAGATCCCTTTATTCCAATCACTTGGCTTCACATGAATTGCTTTTCACATCAACAAGAGTTTTATCCTTTCAGCTCTTCACAACAAATGAACAATTTACAGTGAACTTACAAAGCACCAAGCTCTTGAGGGGGGGAGAGGGTGATGGGAATAATTTTAAAAAAACGCAACACAAACGAAACCGAAAGACCTGTAAAAATCACTACCAAAAATTTCCTTCCACGTGAATGAAGAAATCGAACTGTACAAATAAATCTGCAGACCGAAACATGAACGAACGCAATTCTAAGAGAATGAAGAAAACAAGTAATCTAGACATGTGGTTTTTATTTGAAAGAATCTTGCTTGACTTGGAGAAGACAAGGGCTGAAAATATATATTGTTGTACCTTGGATGGCAAAGGCTTCATAAAACAGCAGCTTTTCCAGCTGAATTCAGAAGGGAAGTCGCTGCTAATGAAGAAATTGAATATCGAGTATCGAGATCAGAACAGGGCGGCGGGATCACGGATTCCGAGTACCCAGAAACATCTAAACAGATCCAAGAAGTGGAAGAAGATGAATTCATTGAAAAGGTAATGTTGGATAAATAGATTGAAGTGAAGGGAGATTCCTGTAGCCCAGTGAAGTTTCCAGCAATGTTAATGTTTGTGCCTCTAACGTTCTGCAACGTTATGTCCTGCACGATCGGAAGTGCGTTAGGATCGAACTCGTCGTCTGGATGTGACCCGAAATGACCTGAGGCACTGAATCCCGTGGATATGTTTTCCATTTCAACATCTGATATAACTATTCCTTTAATGTAACCTCCTCTTCCCTTGGTAGTTCTGAATTCAATGCCAGTAGACGAGTTGTACAAGTGCACGTGCTCGACAAGGACATTAGATATCCCACCAGACATCTCGCTACCAAAGGCAATTGACGAACCTGAAGACGACTGAAGGTGGACGTTTCTGATGTGTATGTTCTTAGATGGTCTGCCATAGGCTATACCATACTGATCCCAGCCACTCTTCAAGACGATGGCGTCATATCCTGTGGCAATGTTGCAGCCCTCTATGCATACATGATCAGAAGAATCTGAAAGCACCAATCAAATTTTATTTAGAAAAGGCGTCGTCGCCTTATTAATTACAAGCAAAAATGAATGAATCGCATCGTACTTCTAGATTTTAATTCCGGGTTTGATAATCATTAATGAATCCATGAAATGTACGTCTAAACTTTACCCCACAATAAATTATTCTAATCATGATGCTATCCCACTACATGTCGAAAACTCCTAACGAGTCATCTTTTCTAGACTCAGACCCGAATCATAAGAACTTGGTTAATTGGAACGTCGTTAAAAGACATTGTTTTCCTTAAACGAGCTAACGACATTTAGCAAACTGCCCTTGATATCTTTCTCGATGGAATCTTCTTCTGAGCACTACGTGGTGTGTGTGCGTGAGAGACACAGAGAGAGCGAGAGATCAATTAAAGGAGATATTCTTCAATGGTGCTCGAGCCATTCGGCCAGAGGAACCCACACCAATAGTCGGACAAATGACAATGAGGAAGCTGAGAAAGCATTACAAACCTGGGACTATTCCAACAGTGTAGGGAGATTCAGAAGGTGCAGAGACAGAGATGTTGAAAACATAGACATTACTGCACATGAAACACTTATGTTTCAATATAGATTCGCTCACGATCAACAAATAAACATACGAATAAGGTGAACCGGACGAGCAAGGGCAGAAGAAACTGAATTCTAGTAGCTACGTTATGACATACCTGCAGTAAACTGGATGGATATTATAAGCAGGAGTATTCAAGAAACTGAGGTTCGAAACGACTACATATTCCGAATCCTCAAATTCCACGAGGTGAGGACGGCTATAGTTTAAGGAATGAGAGGTGAACCAATCCCACCAAACCAAACCCTGTCCATCAATGACACCATCATCACCTAGCACATCGAAAATCAAGACAATAACACGTGTTCATAAGAGTGAATCGCATACGCACAAACTAGATTCTAAATCAAGCATCGAACAAATAACAAACCTGTTATTACAACATCATGTAAATTGTAACCATTTATCAAGCTCCGGTATCGTTTCCCTGGAACTTCAACACCTCTACCATACGAAGGTAAGGGATTGACAAGTTCCCAATGGGACGGGTCCTGTTTAAGAGACGATTGATAATTACAAAACAAATGCCTAAAATCAAACACTTTGTTCATCCAAGAATAAGAACATACCTGAGAGCCAAGAATTGTAGCACCTTTTTCCAGAAAAAGGGTAAGATGGCTAGTGAGATTAATGCTTCCAGTGAGCCATTTTCCCGGTGGAACATAAAGCTGAGCTCCACCCTTATCAGCAAAGGATTTGAGATAGAAAATGGCGTTTTGGAAGGCAATGGTGTTGAGAGTTTTGCCATCACCAACAGCCCCAAACTCCAAGATAGACACACTGTGTGGCCTTGGATCTAATATTGGCTTAGAATTGCACTGTCCGGAGAGCTCATCACCAATAATCTTCGCAGCATTGCTCAATTGTAGCAACAGCAGCAATGCCACCTAAAGAATGAACCAAAAGAAGCTTAAAAAGACAACAATGGTGGAAACCCAGATAACAAATCGCCCAAAATCGCAAGAAAAAAACTAATCCGACAAGATGAAGAACAGATCAAAGAGGAATTGAAGCATAAAATTCAGAAGAACATCAAATCTGGAAATCAAAACCTGCGAGAAAATCAACATCATCAAGGAAAGGGATACAAATCACGAAAAGTCAAAAAGGGTTTCTGGACCATCTATAAAGAACACAGAGATGAAACAGATGGTGAAAGACATTGAAAAACAAGGGTAAGAACAAAAGGGGTTCTTCAGAAATCCACATAAAATGATTCGTAAAACAAAAAAACGAAGAAAACCCAGATAAAAGAAACGTACTTACTAGCATCCTCATTGGTCAAAGCCAGGAACGACAATGACCAAAAAGAAGAGAAATCGAGATGAAGAAGGGGCAAACCAGAAGCAAACACGGCGAGGCAAAGGGGAGCTGAAACCGGAAGAACATAAACAAACGGAGGAATCGAAAGGGAAAGTGAGGCAAATGATATAAATGCACAGCCAAAATCAAGAACTTACATAAGGAAATTGTAGGGAAAGGAAGGAAACGAGGGCAATATACGCTGTAAAAACGACAGCCGAGAGAGAGAGAAACAACCAAATCCACCCCAAAACTAAAAAGAAGGAAAAGAAGGAAACGGGTGAAGAAAATCTGCCTTGTTCTTGCTTGGGAGAATAAAACCAAAAACAAAAAAAAGGGGAAATTCTGATTAGCAACAACATTAATTGCCACTAATTGGCAATTACCCTGTTTGTGAAATATGATTAATAACGTCTATCGCCGACAAAATTGTTTGAAACGGCCCTCCTTCACAGCAAAAGGGTTTTGCCCTATGCCTATGTCTTCTTCTCCTGGACTCAAATTTGGGCGTTTCGCCTCCAATGCCCAAAAGAGAGAGAATTTGATGACGTTTGTTGAATCCACAAGGCCTAAAAAAAACCAAATAACCCAACAAACCAACCCTATTTTTTCATTGTCTCATCCCAATGGAACAACTCCCAACCATCACATAATTCAGGTTTAAAATAGAGAACACCTAACTACAACATACTCAACACGACCCCTCCCAGTAATTAGTCGATGTAGGTTCGAAATTTTTCAATACAATCCCACGTGGAGGAGAGTCAAATTGTCAGAGCGAACGTATAAACTATGAACATTCGATTTATGTTCAAAATTATCGACTCCAATAATAAAACGGGACGAGTGGTAATAGGAAGTGTGTGAGAGAGGGTGCATGGGATGGGAGCAATGAAAGGGCATGTGGGTTGACAGAAGGAGAAGAGAGGTGGGACCCATGATCAATGATAGCGGGGATGCCAGGCTGGCATCAATCAGTTGACAGAACAACATCACCCAACAAACAAACATACAAAACACAAAACACAAAACACAGTAACGAAGACATCTTCTTCCTCCTCCTTTAATTACTATGTTTTTTTCTTATTTTATTTATTTTTTACCATAATTATTCCAAGTAAAACAATGCTAAAACCATATCCGAACCAGAGCGACCCTAAGAATAAAACGGCTAAAAAATATTAGAACACTTGAAAGTCACTGTCTATACCAACAAAATGCATTATCCTGAAACTTCATAGTTAAGCGTGTTTTATTGTAAACAATTCTATAATACATATGAATAAGAACAAAATATATGGTAAATACTCGTGTTGGTCTGTAAATATAGTTTTCCACTCTTAGAAGTAAGAAGTAAGTAACATGACTATGAGATGCAGGGGAATATCGAACTAATCACATACCGAGCTTCGATTCAAAATCCTGGGCATTGGTCGTTACAAGAAAAAATATCGTTTTTTATTTTTTTTAATAAATGTTTAAAAACTACTACGACCGTTAAAGAAAACATTTGTTAAATAAAAAATCATCATAGGAAATCCTAGCTTGTTCGAACTTAATTCGAACCAGTGTTTTAATCATCACTGTATAGTTTTATATATATCAGTTCAATATTCTAATAAAAACAACTATATTTTGAAACAATATGTAACGTTTAATTTTAAATTAAAACTATAATAAATCGTATATTCAACTTATTCTATAGCTATAATCTTCCTAATTACATCAAAATATATGTATACTTGCAGTAATCAATGATGCTTTGACAAAATGATTGATACATACATATATATATATATATATACATATATATATAATATTGTGACCAACTCATTGATGTATCATCCTTTTCATTATTTTGTTTTATATGTTCAATAAAAGGAACATGAAATAATTCAATTTTGAGATAAAAAACAAAAATAAATTGGTCGATAAATTATATTATATAGTTTTTTAAACAACTTTATCACAAAATTATTAAATGAAACTGTCACAACGTTCATAATTGCTTTTAATAACGGTAAGATACAAATTCAAAATGAGATCCCACATCGGTTTGAAAAGGAGAACAGAACATTTACGAGCGATGAGCGATGGACTTAAACGGATACACTTGCGTAGTTTCTCTCCGTTCTTAAGATTAAAAAAGAAAAATATTATAATTTGGATTTTTTTTATTTAATAAAAGTGTTAATAAATTAGAAAGATTAATTTAACTTTAAAAAAATTGGAAGTGGTGGGTGGCTGATGAGTCAGACCAGTCAGACACGTCAGCACATGTACAGTCGTACAATGTTTTTTTTTCTTGGATGCGCTTACCGTTAATTTGTAATAATTATTATTTTTTTTGACTAAATATATTAATTGGTATTAAATGTTTATGATATTTCAAAAAATTTAAAAAAGTTGAGACCGTTGATATTACTATTGGAGTTTATTTTAGATATCAAAGAATTTAATCCATAAATAGAAAGGGAAAAAAATAAAATATTGGTTTTATTCATGCCTTGCTTTTGTGGAAAATAAATCAAAATTTTCAAATATTTATTTTATTTTGATTCTTGCTTTTAAAAATATTTTATTTTAGTCCTAGTAAAATAATTATATTCGTCCTTAATCTACTTTTATTTACTTTTATATGTGTATAAATTAATATATTAACATTAATCATATGAATTAAGTCATTATTAGGTGACAAAATAACATATTAATATTAAAATTCGTCACATACTCTTCCTTCCTTCAATTTGGTCACCCTTCTCAATCTCGATCCTTCAATTCGTCTCTATCACTCGGCTCTCTCTCACTCCCTCCCGCCCCACTCAATATCTTTTGCCATATCGACTTGTCTTCTTTTGTTTATCTCGATCATTTTATGCAGGTGAATATTGTAACGAAATCACAAACAATTAATTTGGAGAGACACCGTTATCCAACCCTCTTCTTGTTTGTCTTCTACTATCCAAAATATATATATATATATATATATTAAAAAAATAATTTATCGAAAACAATCTTATCTATTTAAAATTTACTTTTAAGTGAAATAAAAATAAAAGTGATTGATTTATGTATTGAATATTTAAGTTCAAAGGCTTAAGAATCATAAATGTGGAAATAAATATGTAAAAATATAAATAGGGTGTGTGGTGGGGAGTTGGAAGGCTGAATTTGAATGGACAAATGAAACCAAAGCTCATTCAAAGAGAGACAGTTCCCACTCTTGGGAATTATCAACATGGTGGGAATTATCGGTGGGAATTATCTAGTCCCGATGAGATGAACGACACGTGGGCCCATTCTCGATGGCATAACCGAATGAGTTATGATGGCCGACGACATCCCGAGACTCGGGATGGCGCCAAGACATATGGACCCTATCGATGGAGATCAGATGACAAGATGAGATGCGACGTTATATTGAGAGACCTTGGCCTGAGTAGAGGCAAGGTTGAGCCGAATGAGTTGGCCTAGCGTAGAGGCAAGTCGGATGTGTCGCAGACAATTGAACATACACGCACAGGCGGCGTATGTAGTTGAACAAGCTTGGATTCCGCATGAGCGATGTTCGATTGGCGAAAACAAACCTCACCTAAGGTCCAACGAAGCCACAAAGTCGGGGCAAAAAATACATATGGGGCTTAATTCCCCTTAAGGCTAGTCATGAGCGTGTATAGATCACGACGCCGCACGGTCAAAAAGTTAGGACCGTGTCAATTTCTATACTAGAAATTTTCTATATTATTTTTGTGGAGATTGAGGAGAGGCAAGACATGAACAGAATTGCTTCCTATGTCATTTCCTGTACTCATGAAATTTTATTTATTTTTGCGAGGACTGAGGGGAGGCAAGCAAGACATGAACGGGAACTGCCCCCTATGTCAATTCCCATTCTCGTAAATTCTTCACTTTTGTGTCAATTTCTATACTTAACTTATTAGTCATCCCAATAATTTTAATAATAATAATAAAAATAAAAAACTAGTATAAATTAACATTGATCAATAACTATGAACATTAGAATTAGAATTAGAATTAGTAATGAACATACTTATAGATTAACATTCTAAAATTTGTGGAATTTAGTACTTAAATTCAAGTATTAGGCTTCATTTTGTCTCCTAAAGTTCATATTTTTTATCACCTGAAAATTGTTCTAAATATTGAAAATTTGAACACAAAGCAAACCCAAATTCCAAAAAAGGAAGAAAAGTTTCACCCACTTTAATAAAGATTTGGAACTAATCATAAAACATTTTAAGAACAGGCCAAAAGTTGTTCAAAAGACATGGGAAGAATTTGCTGCAACTTGAAAAACTCTAGAAGCTGATTGTTTCTGTAAATGAAAGCTTTCTGATCTAACCTCAAACAATGGATACTCAAACTTCCCCATACCTTCTTCATACTTCAACGAATTCCGCGATCGCAAACACGGAAATTTCTGCGGTTTCGGGTGAATTCGGGTACGAAAATGAGGGTACCCTTGACTTACATAATCAGAAGGGTTGAAGATTGGGGATTCTTTGTGGTTTATGTGATGAAATCTGCTGGTGTTCTTTAGCAAACAATTCTCAATCACATTTGATTCTTCTCTCAATCTCTCCTTAATGTTCTTGAAGCCTCCATGTTTGTTGTTCTTGTTAAAGCTTCCCAATACATTCAAGGCATTCAAGTTTCTATAAGGAATTGTGTTGCAATCAGGGCAGAATTTCTTCATTCTATCCAAATCAAATGCCCTTCTCTTCACATTATCACTCAAACAAGCATATCCCTACAGATACCCATTCAAATTCCTCAACCTCTAAATTGATATTGCATTAAAGTTCATCAAGATCACGAGTAGTTCATGATTAAAGAAATTAAATGCAAAACAAACAAACGAACAGTGATCCAAAATCCATTACAAAAAAAAAAAAAAAAAAAAAAAAAAAGAAGGCAAAATCACAAAGAACATTTCAGAAAATGAATCGAATCGAACCTGAGAGACAAGCTTGAAGGAAAATTCCGCTTTGGGGTGAGGGTTTTTGTCTGGATGAAGTTGGAGAGCTGCAAATCCAAAGCACATTCTCATGAACAAAACGAAACAATACAAAAACTAAACAGAATCGCAATGGAAAGAGAAAGAAAAGGGAAATCCCACCAAGCTTAAGATATCTCCTACGAATAGAATCGATTCCAGCATCTTCTTCGACCTATCAAAATCGATTAAAGAACAAAGAAACAAACAAAAATCCATGAATCAGAAGAACAGGGGAACCATACCCCAAGAAGGCGATACCAATCGAAGAAAGGGCGGCTAAAATGGCGATGAGCGCAAGAGACAGTACGAGCGGAGAAGGAGAAGATTTCAGAGGCCAAATGGGATTTGAAATCGAAACCGGAATCGGAAGCCATAAAGAATGGCGATGGCTGAAATTTCTGCCGTTTCAGGTGGCTGAGGTTGAAGAAGAAGACGAAGAAGAAGATGGAGCGGGGAAACGAGAGGAGGCAGAGTGAATAATTTGATTTCTTCTGTGTTTTGAAAGTGGGTTCAGTTGGTTATGGTAATTTGGTAATTCGGAAAGAAATCCGAAACAATAAGCCAACAAAAATTTGACACGTGGAATTTAGCAATGCTATATCAGCCGTTCATCTTGCATTTGGTTTCACCTCAACCGTCATCAATTATATTTTCATTATTAATTTATTTTTATCTTAAATTTTCTTTGTATTTTAAATCTAATTTCATCTCTCCCATTAAGTCAACATATTTTAAATCCTAATATATAACAATGAACTTTTTTTTTTAATTTATTTTAAAAGAAAGCGAAAGTATCGATTATATATTGTAATGATTTATTTTATATAGTTGTAAAATATATTTGAATGTTAGGTTATTTAATTGAAATGATTATCCACATGAATTAGGTATTTGTTTTAACCCATTAATATATATTTAAGTTGACAATTATATTTACATCAAAATGTTATAAGATAAATTAACAACAAAGATAAGCAAATTACAAAGCAAATTACAAAGCAAATGCCCAAACTTATGTTACAATAAAATAAATTTGAATTCAACCTCTAATGTTTTTGATATTCTCTTTTGAGATGACCACATATACGTTAAATTTACAAATTTATGAAAAAGTATGTTTATGAAACTTGAGCACAAGGTTAACAAATGTGAAATGTAAATTTGTATTTAGATAGTATAAAACATTAATGGTAAAATTGTGTGATAGGATAATTAACTTGAACTAAACAATTTTGAGAAACTGTCTTCCAAATTGAAATGAGAGGTCTTTGATGATGAGAAAGTGGTGCATAAATGGCCATAGGTATGTAGGCAGAGCATATCATAAGGGGTAGCAATAATTTGGTTGGGTACCAAACTCAACCTAAATAAGAACAGCTGAACCATACACCAATTTTTTATCCGCAAATCTAATTCCCATTGGAAATATAAAAAGGTGGAAAGGGCAAAAGAGTAGATGAAATTAAAATCCAAATGTCTTAATGTTTCATTTATCTAACAATATCGATCAGTGTAGGGTGGGGGAGTTTGTTTTGAATAATGAAGTAATAATTTGATATGAATTGAATGTTTTTTTTCTCCAATTATTCTTTTTTTGGACACATGGCCCCCAAGGTTTTACCATCTCATGTTTTCTTCTCCGTTCATCCTCTCCCTCCTAAGTACTTTTCCATGCTTCATTTATTTTAAGCCGCACAGTTTAGTAATTGTAAAAATTTAATGCAAAGAGTCTGGTTAATCATGTTTGTCCGTCCCCTAAACCCTAAATCACCCTCTTGGCAACCTGACTGAACAAATGTAGTGATGTGAAGTGAGGTGACTTTCAATCTATAAATTTACAATGGGCCGTTATCAATTCAAAGTGGACTTTAGAGTTAAAGCTTAGACCAAAGGTGTCTATTTAGCTAAACCAAGTCGCTAACTTCCAGCTTCACTAAAACCACCATAATTAGGTCTTCCTCCTGATCGATACCCTCAAGGGACTATCATAAGTTTGTCTTATGTATGGAGGAAAAAAAAACATTGGGTATTCTCTAATTAGATTATAATTCTCCTTTTGAATTTTTTTTTAAAAATTGACCCAAATTGAATTTTCTTAAACAATGATACAAATTAAATTAACCTGTTTGATCCGACAAATCAACCTGTTTGATCAATCATAAAGTGCTACTAATCTCTCTATTAGAACATGTTCTCAATCTAATCAGATCGATCATAAAGTGTGCAAATGACAAGAACAAGAAACCCAAATGCGAATATATATACTAGTTGAAGAAAATAAATAAAATAAAATTATAAGTCTAATCCAGCAAATGATATTAGAAAGGAAGGGATTAAATGGAGAAATTTGATAGGGTCCAATACCGGTGATGGACGGGCAAGCTCCCCAGATGATATTAGTAGGGTGGGCACTCACTCGCCTCATGTACCGTGTGTTCGTATTGGTAGAATCCGCACGACAAGTCATCTCTAAACGAGCATTGACCCGTCATTATTTACTCCCTAACAATATCATAAAGACCCCTACGCCTATTTATAGGCCCCTCATGCCTTCCCTTCCGACAATTTATCGATGTGGGATCGCTTCCATCCTCCAAGTCTTAACGGCCTTAAGCCCAATAGAGATATGCCATCAATATAGTATAGTAATTTTATATTTTTTTTAATAATATTATTGAATTATGTTTAAATTCATCGTTATAAATTTAAATTTAAATTTAAATTTTATTTTTCTTAGATAATGGGCCTGCCGCGTTATATTTTGGCCCAACAACTTATTTTTGTTATTAGGGATCATTATTTATTATCAATTATAACCATAGCATAACATTAAACTTCACAAAAACACAGCCAAAATACCTTAAACTTTTGTTTGATCACAACACAGACACACCATATACTATAACCAAAATATAGACGAAAGGGTACTACCCAAATCTCGATTTTTTTTTCATGTATAATACATAATCCATTTAGTCAAATTTTTAATAGGGATCACTATAGACTCCGATCTATCTTAGATTTTTCTAAGAAGTCAATCAACTTAGATTAGAGTATGCGATTTTGTTCTTGATAGGCGAGAAGCTCATCGACCCACCAAAGGTCTGGTGTGGGTTCTGGGTCGAGACACAAAAACGATTCCAAGCGCGAGATTTGGTCTTTGAGTTCCACGTCCGTGGGTGTGGCGACAGGTTGGGGCTGTAATGGAAGTGGCAGCTGCGGCGGCGGCGGTGGGTGAGTGAAGTTGAGTTTGGCCTTTTTGCCTCTGATTCGTATGGCAGCTTCATCGTAGGCTCTGGCGGCATCTTCGGCGGTGTTGTAGGTTCCAAGCCAAACACGGAAGCCCTTCTGCGGGTCTCGAATCTCGGCGGCCCATTTGCCCCATGGCCGCCGCCGGATTCCTCTGTATTTGTTTTTGCGAACTCTCTTCACCTTCTCCTTTTCCCCTGCTTCAAATTCTTCTGGCTTCTCACTTTTCACTGATTAATATTAATCAAAGATTAAAGATTTATAAATGATGGATGAAAAGAAAAGTCCGTATTAAACTAATTTTGGAATTGATCATATATTTATAATCTAGAAAGGCCTAACTAAATTCATGAGAATTTATATTTGAAGTGGATAATTTCATATCATTGTAGAGAATCGTGTTCATCTAACATAATATCAGATCATGCCTAAACTTAGCCATGACTAAGACTCCAAAAGAAAAGGAGTCGAATCTTGATTAAAGAGAGACGTAGTTTGTTCGAAAGGAGGTGTGGGATGAAAAGAAAAGTCTCATATCTGCTAATTTAGGAAATGATCCCCTGTTTATAATCTTGGAATACTATTTTTATTGGAATGAGGTCTCAAAGTGGATAATATCATACTATTGTTGAGAGTCATGTTCCTCTAACAATGATTATTCTTCTGAATTTTTATATTAATGTTTTGTTTTTACCTTGAGAGAGTCGACTCTGAATCTGCAGACTATTGGCCGGATTGTTGGGGTCGTTTTTGCCGGAGAGGTCGGAGAAGGTGTCGAGTTGGGGCCAGAGGTGGTTGTCGACGACGGACTTCCCAGAGGCTTTTGGTTGGACGAAATCGGAGGCCATGGCTCCACCGCACATCGTAATCAACTGAGAACGAGAGAGAGATTTCAGAGAGAATTGAGAGAGAAAAAGAGAAAGGCGGGCAGCGAGAAGAGCTTGAGAATTGGAGAGTGAAATGAAAGGGTATTTATAGTGGAAGAAGGCGACGGTTATAACCTTTTTTTATTTTAATAATTTAATTAATTTTATATTATTTTTTTAATTTTAATTTTTAAAAGATTTAATTTCTCAATTAGTTAAAATTTTCTTAATATTCTTAATTTACTCTCTCTTATATTTAATACACATTTAAAAATGAGTCTCTACCCTTAATTTATAAGAATTTTTCAAATGAAAATGATTAGTGAAAAAAATGGTTATTAAATATTATGAATTAATAACTTTAAATGTATACCAGTCGTCAAAGGTGAGGTAACAATGACACAATTCAGTTCTCATCGATGGTAAGCAACGATAATCGCTAGAAATGAAGTGACAGTAGATGACGATGGTTGTGGACGATGGTTGCCCATGGTGGAAGGCAAGTACCAAAAGAAATGAAGGTAGTGTGAGGGTATTTTTGGTCATTTTGATACTCCGTTTTACTTTTATCTCTTTAATTACTTTTTGTAATGGCAGTTTCATTTACTTCAAATTTTGTGCCCGCCTTCTCTCTCCCTCATTCCCACTCGCCTGCCCGCTCCCTCACTCTTTATCCTTAATTTATGCCCGTCTTTCCTCTCTGTAACATTTCTAGTGAAATCATCTCTTCAACGGACATTTTTATGTCACGAGAAGCCAATGGTAACACATAAAAAACGACCATTTTTTTTTATATATATATTTTTGCTCCATGAAAATGTTCTTTTTAGGTTCCTTTACTTTTTATAAAATAATTTTTTAGTCCTTACTGTTAGAGTCCGTTTTAAAATCAATACTTTAAGTTGAAAATGACTTTTTAAACCCTTATATTAGTTCACATTTTCATTTGAAACCATATTTGAAATTCTAGATATATTTTTCTACATGATATAATAAATGAATTATATAATATTAATTTAAATATTTAAAATGAATTAAAATCAATCAACTATTAATTTACCTTAAGTTTTTAAAATAAAAATGCAATTTAATTACTATAATATAATATAAAATTGATGTAAACTATAAGATAAAATAAGAGTTTCTTTTATTAAAGTTAAATTAAAAAAATAAGTAAAAAAAAAAAAAAATTAAAATTGACATTTGAAATATAATTTTAATTTATTTAACATAGAAACCACTATCTATAATAAATAATTAAATATATTAATACTAATCAACCAAAAATATTAATTAAGATCATCAAATAAACAATTGTTAATAAAGATTTTTAAAATATTACTTTTAGTTTTTTTTAATAAAATATAAATTTACAAATATTTTTGGAAATGAAGTTATGCAATAAAACATCATCAATTTAAATCCTATTTATTACTATTTTCTTCCATATTCTTTATAAAATATTGTTATTATATTTGTAACTCAATGTTCTTGCATAGACTTTCAATATTTTCAGAAGTTTATTACTTTAAATATTCAAATTATAGGACATGTATGCTCATTTGTTTAGATTCCTTTTCATAAAATTGAAATAAACTTTTCTATGCCGCTAAGTATCAATGTAACAACTCAAGTCACTGCTAGTAGATATTGTTTGTTTGAGTTTGTATGTATCACTTTCAGCCTCACGATTTTAAAGCGCGTCTACTAAGGAGAGGTTTTCACACTCTTATAAGGAATATTTCGTTCCCCTTTCCAATCGATGTAGCCTCACAATCCACCCCCTTGGAGGCCTAACGTCCTTGCGAACACACTGTCTAGTGTATGACTCTAATACCATTTGTAACAGCTCAAGCTCACAACTAGCTCATATTGTCCGCTTTGGCCCGTTACGTATCGCCGTCAGTCTCACGACTCTTAAAACGCGTCTACTAGAGAGGTTTCTACACCCTTATAAGGAATGTTTCTTTCCCCCTCCCAACCGACGTGGAATCTCACAATCAAACTCTAACAAAGTTCATTACATAAAAATTCCAAAAATCTTTTGATCAAATCTAGAAGTTTAGTTTTATTACTAAACATTCTCACTTTTTGTCTGAATTTAACAGACATCTAAGTGGGCCTAATCCCAGAAGACAGCAAAAGGGACATGGAAAGCAATGGAATAGTTTAAATTTCAAGGGCCAACGTACAAGAACAATCAATTGAAGCACAAGTTTTTGTCACAAACAATACGTAATGCATTTTGAAACCATCGAAAGGGGCACTCATACAAAACCAACCAATCCATGTAATCGGAAAAATAAGTCATTTCCATCAGCAAATGCAAATGTAGATAGCAGGGAACTGGTGTAATCCTATATTCAAGACACTACCACAGCCAAAATTGTAATACGAACCTTTAGCTTGCCAACTTAGTCAAGCGGTGAACCGTGCTTCTCGCAACTCTGTTACCCGGATCGATCTTCAGGACAGCCCTCAGATCTTCAGCTCCAAGTTTATACTTCTCCATACTTTCATACAGAAGTGCACGTTGAACGAGAACGGTTACATTTGTATCGTCGTGATCCAATACCTACACAGCACAGGGAAGGATATGACTTTTTATAAGTACTCTACAGTTACAATTCTTTTTCCCCTTTGTGGGGAGGGTGGAATGGTAGAGGTGGCATAGTTTAACAAAGCAAAAACAAAACACTATAAGCCAATAATCTAAGTAGTTGTACATTTTCCCCCTCCTTCAAACAATGTAGATCTAACCGTCTAAGCCTACCGCTTGCATATATTGTCCTCTTTAAACTTTCTCTTTCGCGTCTACTAGGGAAAGGTTTCCACATACTTGTAAAGAATGTTTCATTCTCCTCAATTGACTCACAATACGGTAGCAACTTCAATGAGTACTGAGACACACTAGAGACAAAGTCGTTACTTTTTTTTTTCTTTTACTTTTACAAGAACCGAGTTATGATTGTTGCAAACCAAGCTGCAAGAAAGAACCAGTCTAAACTTCCTCTCAACTAATGTCAATGTTACTTAAACCTAGAATTTTAGGTGCCTATTGTGTTCATAGGGCTAATAGAATTTGGATTAGCAAGTAAATAATTCTAATAGAATTTGGATGTTTTACCTTTGTACAATCAACCACGGCCTTCTTATACTCCCCAACTTCTTTGTAACATGAAGCTCGTGTCGACAAGACTTCGACTGTGGCAGCATTATCACCAGCTTTCTTGAAAAGAATCACAGCCCAAGAAAGCCACTTAATAGCATCGGCGTATTGTCCCTGCTTGTAGACATCAACTCCCTTGTTCTTTGCCAAAGAAGCTGTCACCCCTGCAGGAGGAGGAGGAAGTCCTTCAATCTCAGTCGTTGAACCACCCACATCATGACTGCCTCCCCCAAACTCCGAATCGAATCCCCAGCCATCGGCATCAAAGGATTGCGGTGCTCCAGCTGCTTCGGGTGCCATTGGAGCACCTCCAGCTGAGGCTTTGGATGAGCTAAACAACATATCAAGTGGATCACTGGCAGCGGTTTGAACAGTCTCTTGAGCTTTGGAGCCAAAATCCATTGAGGGCATTCCAAAATCACCCATGTTTAAGTCTGAATGAAAACTCGATCCATTGAACCCAATGCCACTCCCACTCGATCCGCTCGAAGGAAACGCTGTAGTGCTTGGATTTGAAGCATTCTGGAAATCCCCAAATGAGTCCTCGTTTGTGTTGATCTTTTGGCTCTTACTCGTTGAATTCAGATTCCCTGATGGCTTAGATCCGAAGTCAACTAAAGAACCAAAGGGATCCTTACTAGAGCTCGTCTTACCACTCCCAATGGTTGAGCTCATGCTTGGACCTCTGTGATTTGGAGCCCTGATATTGGTGGTATAGCTCTCATTACTTCGCCCACTATTGTAACTGTTGAGATTCTCAAAACTCCCATTTGCACTGCTTTTAGCCGGATTACCACTGGCTTTTGGCAACGAATTGCTCATATTTCCCATGGAAAACGAATTCCTATTCAAAGCGGCACTCGATGATGCCGGATTCGAAGCCAAATTCTTCAATGAAGCATTTGTGTTACTCTTACCCGATCCCAAGGCCGAACCGACCAAATCGCCGAACAGATTCGGATTCTTTTCAACAATTCCAATGCCCGAATTGGAGCCTGAATTAGCAGTCGAACCCCAGCTCTTCCCAAATATATCACCGACCATGGAAGCGGGCGAATTGGACAAGTTAGGTCGCGCCGCCTGATTCGGCGCCGGCTGATGCGTCCACGACGGATTGTTAGGCTTCCAGGCCGGCCTCGTCTGTGTCGACGAATTCGAAGAACCAGAGGAAGCGTAGGAAGAATACGAAGTGGTTTTATTTTTCTGATCGTTGAGGGATTTGGAGCGGGAAGATCCGATTCCCAAATCGAACTCGAAATCCTTTCCGAAATTAGAATTCATGGCTCGTGGAATTCAAATGCCCAGACAATGAATCAAAATTAAGAATTCAAAAAAATGGATCTATCTTTCTCAGAAGCGTACCTAGGCGGAAGAGATCGGAGCAATCGAGTGGAGAACAACCTCTAGATCCGGCAATCGTGAAAGGAGGCGGCGGAAGATGGGTAGATATGGGGTGGATGAGTGGGACGCGCAGAGCAGGGTTCCAAAATGTCTCTCCTGAATCTGAGTTCTCTTTGGTTCTTTCAAGCTTCGCCGGCTTTGACTCTCTGCCGGTCAATATTTAGTTTATAAATTTTCTTTTAATTTTTTTAGCCATATTTCTATTAAATAAAATGATTTTAGTATAAATTGTAAATTTATTTGAATTAAAATTTATAGATAATAATAGGACCAAATTTGTAATTTCACATTTAAATTTGAATTTAGTATAAATAATTTTGAAAAAATTAAAATTCTTTACAAATAGGACTATTTAAGAGGCCAAAATTGTAATTTTTGAAACTTAAAATGGCTACAATTGTAATTTCACTCATTTTGATCGCCTGTTCTTACGGTATAAATTCTGGTTCCGCCATTTCTTCTTCTTTACGAGTTCCGACTTCGTTTTCCGATAGTACTCCACCAGCGTTTGTCTCTCTCTCGGCCCTCTTTCTCTCTATCCTAACCCTAATCGAACCTGCTACTTCATGTGCGACGATTCCAATCTCTTTTGTTTTGATATTATCATTCAGGTTGAGTTGATGGCTTCGGAGGTGCTAACAAATGAAGCTTACCATGAAAAGTAAGATTTTCACATCTCCTGTTTGGACTAAAATCAATGATTTATTCAAATTTTTTCTTGCTAAAACAAATTCACTTGGATGTCTTGTATAGATGTGATATTTATAGTTACGGAATCATAATATGGGAGCTTTCCACAATGCAGTGACATGGAAGGAATGAACTTGATGCAAGTTGTAGGCGCATATTTTTTCGTTACCAGGAAGTTTTGGCGAAGGTAAATATTCAAGTGTTGCTTGAACTAGAAGAACATAATAACATGAACGAATATCCAAGTGTTGATTGCCTTATATAGTTGTTATGTGAAATATTGGTTGCATTGGAAAATTGGTTGCCTTAATGTAATAGTTGCTTCCAAACATTAGCGTTAGTAGTAGTGTTCAAACATCTGTGAGGCTTGCCATATCCATGCCCCTTTGGAATGAACACGGAAGTAAGTAAAGTTCATTATTTAAGGAGAATATTCTATAATTAAATTTGGAGATGGAAAGGAAGCTTGAATATCGCATATTTATGTGCCTTCTTACTGCAAAGAAAGGAATCAGATCCTTATTTGGCTATTGTTAAGGTTCGATGGTCTCAGGAAGAAACATTCTTGGTATGAATAAGTTTAATTGATCGATAGCTGAATTGAAACTTTTTTGAAATTCCTCTGGATTATGAGATGTTCACATGGTCCATAATGAGAGATAATCCAACCCAATCTTTGCTTGACAGAAATATAGACTCTATGGAATGGTCTCGATGTATTTAGAACTCAAGAATTTGTAGTGTCCTGAAAATTATACAAGAAAGAAAATTCTCAGAGCTTCGTTCCCAAGAATATTGATTCGAGACTGATACTTAAAGTAAGAGAGAATGATTGATAAGACCTTTAGAAGAATTAGAAGGACAAAAAAGGCACCGGGAGAAAAAATTTCTGTTTACTAAAATCTGATTTTGTTAACTTGGTCAAGCTTTTTGACAAGGGCACGTCAATTCATGTCTCAAGGGAAACATTAGCCTTTTCACTGATGGACAACGATTATTGACCGTTAGCCCTTTCACTTCAATGTATAGGATCCTTTCCAAGGCACTATTTGAAAGATTTGATGTCCTTTGACTATTTGTCCTGCTCAAAATGCTTTTTTTAGAGGAAGAAAAATCTTCGATCCTATTTGCAATAGAGGAAGGAAAAAAAAAAAAGGTTGGATCTTAAAACTAGACCTTGCAAATGTCTTTGACTGAGTTGATTGAGTTTTATTATTTACTATCAGTTTGCAGATGTGACATTGTATTTCTTTTTTTTCTCATTTTTTGTTAGGATAAGGACTTTCAATTTAGGACTTATTTTTTATACTTAGAGCTTTTGAAGCTGCAGCTGGTTTGAAAATTAATTGGAAAAGATCATCAGATTGTGGAATCAATATTGAGGCCAAAAGAGTGGAGTTAACTGCTATTCAGTTGGGATGGTACAAAGCTGAAAATTGCCTATTTCTATTCTTGGTTTTATCTATCCTTCCTTTATAAGCCATTAGATCATGGACGTTTGGGTCTCGGAAACCTTTTCAATCACCTTTATTTCTTTAGGCCCATTTCAAAGAGGTGATGGAGGTATTCAAATGAGCTGCTTGAATTGTGGACCAAAGTGGTTATATATGAAACTGATGAGTTTGATGGTTCGCTATACAGAAAATTGGAAGGTGCCGGAGAGGTCCTTGGTGGAATATATCCGAAGTAACATTTTGGTAGATCCTACTAGCATTTTGGTTGGAGATGGAAGAAGAACAAAATTTTGGCAAGACTCTCGGCTGGGCGATATCCCTCTAGCATTGCAACCTCCAACTTTTATGCGGTATTCCGAGAACAAAGCTGCTCTGCAACGGGGTTTTCTTAAACCTCAACGAATAGATCACAGAATATTTTGGCAAAAGGGGGAACCTTCATGAAGAAGAAAAGGAGAAGCTTAGATTAGAAGACTCTTGGAGGTGATTAATGAAGCTTCCCCCATTTTTTTGCCTCACAAAGAATGCAAATTTGGACTCTGGTAAGCAAGTAATACATCTTTCCACCAATAAGATTGGGAGAAAAGAAAAAGTGTGCAGTCCCTTCATTCTGCCTTCCTTGTTCCTCTAGACCTTCTCTAGAGAGTGCTTCCTCAGCTTGAACCTGCTGCAATGCACCTTCTCCTCGTTGTAAGACCAAATGAGACCTCTATAGAAGAAATTTTGTGGACTAATATGAACTACTCTTCACTTTGCAGACTTTCACGCTCATGTTTTGATTTGACATGGCTGATGGTTGAATGTAAACCAATTGTGAATGAAAATAAAGGCATATAGAGAAGAGGAAAAGAAAAAACCAACGAAAAATGTTGAAATTCACTCTCATTTTCCTTCACTAGTTTCTTTTTCTTTTTAGGTAAAAACATGTAGAGTGAAGCTTCAAACTTTTGACCTCTTGATTGAGGAGGTATATGTCTCAACCACTTGAGCTATGCTCAAGTTGAACTTTCCTTTTCACTAGTTGCAACATAAATGCCTCTCACAACACTATATCTATATCAAAATCTACCTCTAGAAAATGAAAAATGTTACAAATGCACTGAAGTTAAACCTTATTCTAAACTCCAGAAGGCTTGTAAACTATAACCAAATAGTATGCATGGAAGCACTGTTGTTTATCGAGTAATGAACTTAAAATGTTGAATTAAGGATGGAGAAGTTATTGAGAGATCCCTTGCAGTTGAAGCGGCCAATGTCATCAGTTTCTGGTGGCTCAATGGCAGTGAGATTGATGTAAGAAAGCTGAACGTTCTCACAAGGCATGGCTGAGCTGCATTGCAGATTTACTGCAAATTCAGAGTTGTAAGTGCCACTTATGTTTTTAATATTGATGTTACTCAGCTTCACACCTGATGACTGAAAAAAAAAAAAAAAACACCATTTAGCATACTTTTCTGTTGAAGAATAAATTTAGCACGTAAGCTTTTTAAATCGACCATTGTGTGGATTTGTCGAAATTGAGCAACATAAAAGTGTTTTTCCGGGAAGGAATAAATTGAAGCTCAACTGTAGATTATTTTTGGCTAATAACTATGATAGTTTGAGGTAGAAAATAATTTTTGTTTAGGAAAGAGTTCTTTCTATCCTGTAAACATGCATCTGTGCCAGAGTTATTTCTACTTTGTCACATCGAGTCAAATCAACCAAAATTTATCCTATAAACATGTCATGTCAATGTTTTGTCAATAAGGTTACAACTAGGATCACAATTTTTAAAGTGAAGGAACTAAATTATAATGAGACAATAAGAAGTTGAAAGTGCAGGGATTCTATTACAAGTATTTACCTCTTTTATGTCACAAAAATGGTTAGGACAATACTGTTGATCTATGATAATGGGATTTGAGACATTGAACATCACAATGTTTTGAAATGTCAAATTGGTAGCTTTGCTTGCGTGATCTTCTCCTGGCCATGTCTTTACCCTCACTCCATTTTGAGTGTCTTTTATGGTGCAATTCTCTACTCTTATTCCCATCACATCCTTCTCCTCCCTGTACCTCCCTAGACTCCCCACACTGCATTATTCCATATCAAACACATTCAAAACTATTACCATTTTAATGCTCTTCTACTTTTACTAAATGTTTCAATACTATTGTAAGTGTAAATGATGTATATACAATTAATAGTGAGATGCAAAGTTGAATTGTGATGCTAGAAATGATGGTAGATACGATACCTGATTCCATGACCAGGACCACATATAACGTTAGAAACCGACACGTTGATGCTACCAGGTCCGATGGAAACACAGTCGTCGCCAACACTGATGTCGGAGGCTGTGATGTTGATATTGGTGGACTGACTGATATGAATGCCATCAGTGTTCTGACTATTCCAAGGAGCTGTAATCTTGAACCCAGAAAGATGAATATTGTCACACCCATTAAGGGCTACATGAAAGCCCTTGCTGTTCACAAGGCTAATATTGCTCACTGTCGCATTTGACACATCACTCAGCTTCAAAGACTGCTCATATAAGGGAAACTTGCATCAATGTATGGAAATGTGTAAAAATGGTTAAAGCTTTGGTGTCTTTGATGGGAGAGAAGCAGATGATCACAGCAAATTCAGATAGAAAATTCCACAAAAAAGGTGAATTTTCAACTTTTTAAATTTACCCTCTGATTCATTTTTTAACTTGTTCATACTTACTGTGGTGAAAATGCCACAACTCAAGCGATGGCGGCAGTTGAAACCATACAACCAGGTTTCAGCACCCTGGCCGTCGAGAATGCCGGATCCGATGTTGCCGGTGATGGTGAGCTGGCGGAGGGACTTGAAGTAGATCCAAACGTCGGCGGTGAGGGTGGTGGGAGCAATCAAAGTGCCTAAAATGATGACTTTGGGAGAGAGATCACCGAAACAAGGGCCTGAAAATAACACTTGGGCAAGGAAGAAGCTGCCCTCTGGTATTAAAAAGGTGGAGCTTCCTCTGTAAGCACATGCATCCTCCCACGCCCCCATGAATGCCTATAGCAACAGAGAATTAAAATTTAGTTTTTATAATTTAAAAAAAAAATGCAATATTAATAGTCCTTTTTAAATATTTGATTTTGATGAAATTAGTACGTTAAAATTTCATTTTTATTAATTAAAATATATACCTAGTTGAAATTTTAATATTTGTTAACTAGGTTTGACCATTTTATTGAAGGACCAGTACTCTTTTCTTTTAATTTGTTTGACTTTCTGGCTACATTTAAAATTTTGCATGCTCAATTTTGACTTTATTATTACTTTAGTTTGGTATAATTTATTGGTTAATTAATGAGTAATTTTCTAATTTAGTTCTAAAGTCACATTTAATCATATTCAGAGGTAAATTTCAATGAAATTAGTCTAAATTTACTCAATATTAAGGTTATAATATTTTTCTTAAAAAATAAAATAGAAGATAGAAATTGTTTCTAATTACCAAGCTGTTCTCTGTCTTGCCATCAGCAATTGCCCCATAATCAGTTACATCAAAAACTGCCAGTCCCCTCCATGGATCTCCGCCGGGGGGCTCCGCCATGTCCGGTGGCAGAAGAAGAAAATCCCATGAACCGGCAGCAGATTCCAGTGCTGGTTCCGGCGAGAAATTACGTCCAGATACAGAAACAGCCAGAAGAAAATAGAAGATTACCAGAGATGAAAGCTTCATGGTTTTTGAGAATTTTGAGATTCTCCTCACCAAGAAAATGGCGATAATTGGCCATTTATATTCTAATGAATTCTTAACTGAAGTAATTACGATTAATTAATTACTTGGACTGGTTCGTTTCTGGTCGTATCTAATTTAATTCTGGATTACCATCTCTTTATTCAGTTTTTAAGCCTTGTATTAAGCTGTGACGGATTGTTTAAGGAGGGTAATTCTCCTTAATTATGAAATTTATTAAAAAAAGAGTTACTAAAAAAGAGTTTAAATACTAAACGCCTAGTACACCACCACACGGACCTCTCATACTAGGTTAAAGTACCTGATATGGATCAAATTGTCTCACGACGTTCTGAACCTATCATACGTATCGCTTTAATGAGCGAACATACTACAACTCCAAGTGGCAAAGAGCCAATCGAAGTGTCAAACTTGATGTGAGCTCTTGAGGAAGATTAGTATGTTATCCCTAGAGTAAACTAGGGTCATAGGTGACAAAAAACGACATCGAGGGGCCAAACTTTCCCATCGATATGAGCTATTGAGGATCTTTCTTGGTGCATAAGCAATAATATTCCTTAGATAACTCGATTGAGATACTTTAGGTTAGTTTGACACATACAAGACCTAGTTTTGAAAAGAATTTTGTGCATTTAGAATTAGACTCAAAAACATCAGACATGCCAATTGAATCATGTCATGTTACATTAAGCTACAAAAAAAAACAAAAAAAAAAAAAAAAAAAAAAAAAAAAAAAAAAAGGCAAAAAAGAAGCTTCAACTGCAGCTTGAGGACTATGATCACTTGCAGGGGGCTGGAAATTGCAGACCTCTATAGCCTACTTTTGCATTTGTACAATCTGACCTAAACGGCAACGCTTTGTCGTTCGGACGCCCACTGTACTTCATATTTACGTTGGACATCTCAATGTTTTGGCATGGGAACCGCTTGCTGCATACCAGTTTAACTGCTACTGGAGAGATTGTTGTTCCTTTTATATTAACGAAATGAACATCGCTGATTCGGACTCGTGATGGCTGCATCGTATCCAATAAAATCACGTTAGAAGCAGGTTAAGTTTGATTGAGAAACCAAAAACGATAACGAACCGGCTTTTTGCAAACTTTTGAGCAGCTGTACTGTTGGTCGATGATAATCGGGTTCTTCACATTGATCAAATTGATGTCTTGGAATAGTATGCCTACCGCTGCACTCGGGGGCGAGTCTGCCCATGTTTTGATTCTAAGCCCATTGTCAGTGTTAGTTAACGTGCAGTTCCTAACGATAATACCCCGCACGTCCTCCTCATTTGGGTACTTCCCGAGGCTACCAATACTGTCATAGTAGAACCCTTGTTGATCATCACGTTGTATGCAATATTACATAGCTAAACAAGAACAAAAATCACGTTATATTTCTTTTTTCATTACCTGATACCATGTCCTGGCCCGCATTTGATTTGGTCGATAACAACGTTCATCGATCCTCTACCGACAGAGATACAGTCGTCACCCGTAGCAATGGTAGATTTTGTAATTCTCACCTTAGTGGAGCGACTAAGATGTATACCATCAGTGTTCGGACTATCATCTGGTGCGATCAGGTGTAGCTTTCGAACCCTAATATTTTCAGAATTCGTGATGAACATGTGATTCCCTTTACTGTTAAGGGAAGTGAGGCCTTTCACGAGTCCGTGTCGGATGCCATTAAGTTTTAAACTCTAAAAACAAAGAATGAAAAAAGAATGAGACTGAATAATCGACCCGACAAAAAAAAAAAAAAACATGTTTGTACTTACAACTGGGAGCTTCTGACAATTTTCATTCACATGGCAATCATTGTACTTCCAAACCTCACTACCTTGTCCATCCAATGTACCTCGTCCAGTCACTATCAAACCATTGATTTTCTCGAACAATATCCATTCAGCTGAGACGTATTGGCTGACGTCAACGCCACCTTTTAACGTGGCATCAATTTGAACGACAATTGGTTCTGTGTTCCGACAAGGCCCAGCGAAAGCAATTTGATTGATCAAAAACACACCACTGGGAATAACAACTCTAGCCGCTTGCTTGGAGCGACAAGCGGCAACCCATGTCTTCATGAAAGTCTACCAAAAAAGACATCATTAAACACGACAACGACAACGACGACAACGACAGTAACAAACATGCTTAACAATTACTTGAGTGTTGTCTTTGGTGCTACTGAATTTGGCACCGAAACTAAGCACGTTAAACACGACTTCCTTTCGATGTCTAATACTGTCTAGATTAATTGATGAAAAGGGGTCGGGTGTGCTCGGTCCAATGAGCACCTTTGCCTCGGCAGCAACGAATGATGCTAAGAACAACCAGAGAAGGACGGGTAGTTTCGAAGAAGAATTCATCGAAGCTCACCCAAAGGGAAAAAAATTTATTGGGTTTATTTATTTTATGATCAAGAAGCCTCCAAATGGAGGCTAAGAAATAGAATTGGAATGATGTTGTGTTTACATGTTGGGTTATTTTATAGCTTGTTTGAAGGGAAAGGGCTTAAAATTAGTGAATTTTTTCCCTTTAATTTAGGCCTTTCTACTTGAAAAACTAAATTGGTGGCCATTTTCAAGCTTCACCAAACATCAAAAACAACTTTGTTTATGTGTTGATATTGAAATTGTTTAGTATCATTTGTCCTTGTCCAACATAAGATTGAACTATCGAAAATGATAGTGAAACCTGATGTTTTTATGGCAAACACAGTAACTAAGCTTATAATATACATTTTTATAAACAAACAGCTGTCCCTTAACCTTTACCGTTAGGTCATCTCTATTTTCTTAGCGTGGTCAGTGACCTTTCTCTTGACCCACAATAGAGTTTACATGGTCTGGTTAGGTTTGAGAGATTTTTTTGGACCAACCCTCTCTATTCAAGTTGGGTTGTCGGAAATATCGACACTTCTTGAGAATTGATTACCTTAAAGGTAAGGAAAATATAGACCAACCCTCTCTATTCAGGTTGGGTTGTCGAAAATATCGACGAATTGATTACATTAGTAAGGAAAATATAAGAATAGATCGCGAAATTAAAAAACAATAAAAATAATTATTTTGGTAAGGAAAATATGAGGATAGATCCAATCACGAAATTAAAAAATAATAAAAATGAACTATACCTAACAAAATAAATAAAAAATACTATAGAACTAGAGTCGAACTTGTGCGAGAATAATTCTAGAGAAGCTGGGTTAGCAATTTGGAAGAGAAGTATGCTAAGGTTCTTAATATATTTTATTATTTGGTTCAACTTGAAAGAATATGTATGCTTTACCGACTGTAAAGGTGAATGAAATCAGTCTAATTCATCTTGAGTTAGGTTCAGCAGAATGAGTAGGGAGAAAAGCTGATAGATAGTTTACGGTTCAGGGGTGAAGACAGGAGAAAGAATCCATCATTTTATTCTTCTTTCAATTCATTCTCTTTTCTTTTACCTCCTTCAATCAGGAAAAGGTGAATGAGTCAGTAGGGAGAGGATGAAACTCGAATGAATAGTCTTGACTCTCCTGTAAAGGAAGGTTTTTGTCCCATGAGCCCAAAATTGAATTGAATCAGTTCGGGTTCAGAAAAATTAACCCAATCTAACTCGAAATGATAACCCAACCCAACTGAACCCCAATAATTCGAGTTGGGTTGGTCCGAGTTGTCGGGTTGAATGTACACCTCTAACGAATAGTTGGCGATGGGTCAGCCACCTTTCGTGGAGGTTGAGTCGTTATTATAGGTTGTGGCTGACTTGGAGCAACCCGTCTCGGTTGTGGTTGACTCGGAGCAACTCGTCTCCTCCTCGGTCGATCATAGGACTCTATGTGAGCCCACTACTTATCGACTTATCTTAGTGAGATCCTTACAAGTTGCCATGACACTATACGTAAGTCGAGGCTTGATTCAATACCCTACGATACTTAAGTAGTGGTCACATCAATATTGTTTTTACCTTTGTCGAGTTTTTTTTTCAAAAAATAAAATGTAAATTTTAATAGAAAATAGCAAAATTCATTTAATGATCATTATTAAAATTTATTTATTACAACAAAACCTTTGGACTTATTTACTAATAAATTGTATTTTTACCTTTAAATCATCAATTTTTATATCAATTTTAGCTGAGTTAACTAACTTCTAATTAAATAATTAATAATTACTCAAAAAATGGGTTAATTTAAATAATTAACGTAATCACGATTTTTACCACAAACCTAGCCAAAATTAACTAAATATGGGTTAATTTAAATAATTAACGTAATCACGATTTTTACCACAAACCTAGCCAAAATTAACTAAATTAATCCTAACTTTAGAAAAGCAAAAATTTTATTTAAAAAATAAAGTGAAAATGATTGGTCCATAATGCTCCAACTCTAACAATATTTACTATAATTTTGAAATTCAGTTAAAATTTTCTCATATAAAAACAAGTCATTTGTTGAACCGAAGGAATCAAGGCAACAACTTCCCATTTTCTATTATCCAACAAAACAAAACAAAACAAAAAAAAAAGCAAAAAAAATAGCTCGAGATTTGTAGCGAAGAAACATGGCGTATGACGGCGGTGGATGCAAGAACAATAAAGTTGCCCTGGTTGGGTTGTTGTCTCTGTTTTTGGTTGCCTTGGTTAATGGTGCAAGTGGCGCAGGAGAGGACTCTGGGTCCTCTAATGTTGCCATTAAGACTATATGTGAGCCCACTACTTATCGTGAAACTTGCGAAGAAGCCCTGGTGAAGTCCAATGTTGACTCAAAAGACCCACGTGAGTTGATCAAGGCAGGGTTCCATTTTGCTATTGAGCAGCTCAAAGCGGCAATTGCAAATTCCCCCACTTTGAAACAAGCCGCCACCGACCCCATGGCGAAAGAAGCCATTGATACTTGTGACGAGCTCATAGATTATGCAATTGATGATCTTTTAACTACGTTTGATCAAATCACTGATAGTTTTAGTTTAAATAGGGTGGATAATTATCTTAAGAATCTTAGGATTTGGTTGAGTGGTGCGTTGACATATCAAGAAACTTGTTTGGATGCTTTCGAGAATGTTACTGGCGATACTGGTGAAAAGATGACGAATTTATCAAGAAACTTGTTTGGATGCTTTCGAGAATGTTACTGGCGATACTGGTGAAAAGATGACGAATTTGTTGAAGACGTCAAAAGAAATGACCGCTAATGGACTTGTGATGGTGGGTGAGGTTACATCTCTTGTGAGCTCTTTGTGGAAGGCGCTCGGGCTGCCAGAAACAGGGCGACAACTCCGAGCAAAAGAGCTCGATGAAGAAGATGAAGAGGAAGAGCCATCTTGGGTCAATGACAGGCGAGGGCTACTCCAAGCCACTGGTGCCAAGATTAGGGCAAATGTGGTGGTGGCTAAAGACGGAAGTGGAAAGTACAAGACAATAACTCAAGCCCTTCAAGATGTCCCAAGGAAGAGCAATAAAAGACGGAAGTGGAAAGTACAAGACAATAACTCAAGCCCTTCAAGATGTCCCAAGGAAGAGCAATAAAACCTTTGTGATTTATGTCAAGGAAGGAGTTTACCAAGAGCAAGTAATGGTGGACAAAACAATGACCTGGGTCATGATGATTGGAGATGGTCCTACCAAGACCAAGATCACGGCCGGCAAGAACTTCAAGGACCTGGGTCATGATGATTGGAGATGGTCCTACCAAGACCAAGATCACGGCCGGCAAGAACTTCAAGGATGGAACATCCACATTCAAAACTGCTACCTTTGGTAAGTTACCATCTAGTTTATTATCATGTTCATACAAATTCAAAAAATGAATTTAACATTTCATATTCTTAACAGCGGCGGTTGGAACCAACTTCATTGGAAAAGACTTGTGGTTCGAGAACTCTGCTGGGCCTGAGAAACACCAGGCTGTGGCACTCCGAGTTCAATCAGACATGTCAATCTTCTACAATTGTAGAATGGACGGCTATCAAGATACTCTCTACACCCATGCTCATCGTCAATTCTTTCGAGATTGCACCATCACTGGTACCATTGATTTCATCTTTGGCAATGCTGCTGTCATCTTACAGAATTGTAAGATATTTGTGAGGAAGCCAATGGAGAATCAAAAATGCATCGTCACTGCTCAAGGTCGGCTCGAGAGGAAAGAGCCCACTGGTATCGTCCTCCAAAATTGCGCCATCTCTTCTGACCCTGGCTTCTTCCCCGTCCGCCATGTCTTCAAGACCTACCTTGGCCGCCCATGGAAGCAGTATTCAAGAACCATCATCATGCGTCCGCCATGTCTTCAAGACCTACCTTGGCCGCCCATGGAAGCAGTATTCAAGAACCATCATCATGCAATGCCAAATTGACGACTTGATCCAACCTGAAGGGTGGCTTCCATGGGAGGGCGATTTTGCTCTCAAGACTTTGTTTTACACAGAATTTGATAACAGAGGACCTGGTTCCATGGGAGGGCGATTTTGCTCTCAAGACTTTGTTTTACACAGAATTTGATAACAGAGGACCTGGTGCAGCAAAACAAAATAGAGTTAAGTGGAGGGGAATTAAACAAATCACACCAAAGCATGCCATTGATTTCACCCCTGGGTTGTTTATTCGTGGTAATCCCTGGATTAGGCGCACTGGAGTTCCTTACTATTCGGGCATGGCAACGATCTAAAATCAAGGGAATAGAACTCCTAGAATTCTCGACAATTATGTATAAAAACATTAATTTATTGCTCATTTTAAGATTTTGAATAAAACAATGAGCTCATTTTAAGATTTTTTTTTCTTTTTTTGTTAGTAAGATATTTAATTTTTAAATTTTAATACGCAAAAGATCTTTAGTTTAAAATATGTTATAATAATTTTTTAAAATAAAATTATTTTGCTGGAGAGACTAAATTATTATACCGATTAAATTGTTATGCATTAACGATCATCATGACAAAAGTTAAAGGTCCCATTATCAATCCTAAACATTGTAGCGATGAAAAATCAGCGTTAATCAATCAACGGTACCGAAGATTGTGCAATCTCGGTAGAATTGACGGTGAGCATGGGGTAGAGAGTATCTTGATAGTCGTCCATTCTACAATTGTAGAAGATTGACATGTCAGATTGAACTTGGAGTGCCACAGCCCGGTGTTTCTCCCAGTTGAGTTATCGAACCACAAGTCTTTTCCATTGAAGTAGGATGAGACTTGGCAGAATAATTTTCAATTGTAATAGAAAATAATAAAATTCATTTAATGTTCTTGAGTCTACACAAAATGAATGATCATCTTGGGAATCTTAAGATTTGGTTGAACGGTGCATTGACATATCAGTCTACACAAAATGAATGATCATCTTGGGAATCTTAAGATTTGGTTGAACGGTGCATTGACATATCAAGAAACTTGTTTGGATGGTTTCGAGAATGTTCTTGGCGATACTGGTGAAAAGATGAAGAGTTTGTTGAAGACGTCAAAAGAAATGACCGCCAATGGACTTGTGATGGTGGGTGAGGTTACATCCCTTGTGAGCTCTTTGTGACAGAAGCTAGGACTGCCACAAACGACAACTTCGAACAAAAGAATCCAATGAAGAAGAGGAAGAGCCATCTTGGGTGAGCAACAGGTGAGGGCTACTCGAGGCCACTGGAGCTAACATCAAGGCGGATGTGGTGGTGGCTAAAGACGGAAGTGGCAAGTACAAGACAATAACTGAAACCCTTAAAGAGGTACCATTGAAGAGCAATACAACCTTTGTGATTTATGTGAAGGAAGGAGTTTATGAAGAGCAAGTGATGGTGGACAAAAAAATGACCTATGTCATGGTGATTGGAGACGGCCCGACTAAGACCAAGATCACAGGTAGCAAGAATGTCGTTGATGGGACAACCACATTCAAAAGTGCTACCTTTGGTAAGTTGTCATCTAATTTATAGTCATATTCATACGAATTCAATAAGTGAATTTAACATGATTGCATATTCTTAACAGCGGCGGTCGGATCCAACTTCATCGAAAAAGACTTGTGGTTCGATAACTCAACTGGGCCTGAGAAACACCAGGCTGTGGCACTCCGAGTTCAATCTGACATGTCAATCTTCTACAATTGTAGAATGGACGACTATCAAGATACTCTCTACCCCCATGCTCACCGTCAATTCTACCGAGATTGCACAATCTCCGGTACCATTGATTGATTTTATCTTTGACAATGCTTCTGTCTACAGAACGGTAAGATCTTAGTGAGGAAGCCAATGCCGAATCAATCATGCTTTGTCACTGCCCAAGGTCGAACCCAGAGTAAAGAGCCCACCGGTATCATCCTCCAAAATTGCACCATCTCTTCCAACCCTGAGTTCTACCCCATTCGCCATACCAGTAAGTCCTACCTTGGTTGCCCATGGAAGTGGTATTCAAGAATCATAATCATGCAATGCCAAATCGATGACTTGATCCATCCTGAAGGTTAGATGCGATGGAGTGATGATTCTACTCTCAGGACTTTGTTTTACAGAGTTCGATAACAAAGGACCTGGAGCAGCAAAAGAAAATAGAGTTAAGTGGAAGGGAATTAAAGAGATCACAGCAAAATAGACCATCAATTTTACCCCTTCGTTGTTTACTCATGGTGATTCTTGGATCAAGAGCATCCGAATACCGTACACTGGTGGCATGATGAAAATCTAAAACCAAGACCTTTTTGATTGTTTATTCGTGGTAATCCCTAGATTAGGCGCACCGGAGTTTCCTACAATGGTCTAAAACCAAGGAACCAGACAAAATTTATTTAAAAACATTAATTTATAGTTCATTTTGAGATTTTGAATTAAACAATTCTTTCTCTTTTTTGAGAATATAATGATTTAATATTTGTAGTTTAAATTAGGTTATAATTAAAAAAAAATTTAATAATATTTTTTTTTTTTTTTTGGAGAGACTAAATCATTATACAGATTAAATTATTATACACTACAATTTCATAAAGTATTCTACCGGGTCTAACAATAGCTACCTAATATTCGGGGATCCTTTCCTAAACTCGTGTGTTTTTGTGGGTCTTAGTGTAACGGGTTTGTCTGGAAATATACTTACCCATATTTTTCCGACGCGTCGTGCATTTCGTGTCATTGCCCTTCATCCCGCTTCGATTTGGGTAGCTGTTGTTAAACTAGGTAGAATACTTTATAAAATTGTAGCGTTAACGGTATGGCTGAAAAAATGAATCTAGTAATAATTTTTTCAATAAAAATGAAAATATGGACATTTTTTCTTTATTATATGAAAAATTGTTAATGGTTATTTAACCCATTGATTTAGTTATAATGAATTATTAAAAAAAGAAAACATAACATTTAAACATAAACATAAATTTTAAAAAAGGACTAAAATTGTATTTTAATTTATTTTAAGATTGACTTTTTTAAGAAAATAAAAAAAAAGTAAGAGTAGTGCCAAAGTTGAGACAAGTTCAAAATTCAAAAAAGAATTGATCTATGTGATAATATTTATGGGATTCCCGAAGTTATAAATAGAAGGTTGGTCTCGAAAATCCAAGAATTATAGATGAATCTATAAAAAGAATTAAATTATGTGAACCGAGAACTCAACATGAGACAAGTTCACCCAACAACCGACCAAGTCAAGAGCCAGAACGTGGTGCCATATAACAAAAGAGAAGTCAGAAGCATCCACTCGAACTTATCTCCAAGCTGATGGAAGACATCAGCAAGATCCAACAACTGACCAAGTCAAGAGTAAGAACCTAGTGCCATATGACAAAAGAGAAATAAGAAGCATAGACAAGTTCACCCAACAACTGACCAAGTCAGGAGTCGTGGTGCCATATGACAAGAGAAATCAAAAGCATCCACTCGAACTTGTCTCCAAGTTGACGGAAGACGTCAGCAAGATCCAACAACTGACCAAGTCAAGAGTCAGGACGTGGTGCCATATGACAAAAGATGGTGCCATATGACAAAAGAGAAGTCAGAAGCATCTAGAGGCAAGTTCACCCAACAATTGACCAAGTCAAGAGTCGTGGTGCCATATGACAAAAGAGAAGTCAGAAGCATCCACTCGAACTTGTCTCCAAGCTGACGGAAGACGTTAGCAAGATGAGCATTATGACAAAAGATAGTCAGGTGCTTAATAATTTTATACCTTTATGAAACACAACAAATTCCATCGAGTCGAGTCGGCAACAGTCAGAGAGTTTGGATCATCATCGGGACGATGCCGAGATTGTGTAGGGGAGAATTTCACAATTAGTGGGGCGAATGTGCCCTGAGAAAGTCATCGAGGACGATGACTAAATTAAGTGGGGGAGAATGTCACAATCTGCAATACAATTGTGCCCGAGTAAGTCATCGAGGATGATGACTAAGTTAAGTGGGGGAGAATGTCACAACCATACTATAAAGAGAGTAGGTTGTGACCCTCGCGTCATGACAAGCAAAGTGGCGTCCCTCAAGAGACGTCCATCTGGCCATATGCTGGCCAATATAGAAGAGTGTCATGATGCGATCGAGGAGGACGATGCATCATCCAACACACCACCACACGAAGTGGGCATTGAAGACAAGTTGAGACATAAGCAAGACAAAGACATTAAATAGACATGGAGAGCAAAGATAGGCTTGTTGATGGGCTGGGTAGGGCCCCAGGCCTTAACCTCAAAAAGTCGGGGTTTCAAAAGGAATTTGGGCATGCGATTCGGGAGTTAAGTCCGTCCGTATGAAATATGAATGCTCACAAAGTTTGGGGTCAATCGAACACTAGACGAAAAATGCACGACACAGTATGACCGTTCACCAAAATCATGTCTACGCCTGAAAGATTGAAAATGACTCAAAAGGTACTGTAGGAGTACCATGGTGTTAGCTCTCCACCACCCCTAGGTCCTGTGGCCTAAGTGAGCTACCCTATGGCACATACGTGTGTCACAATGTGGGCGAGCGTACCAAGACGAGTGTCTCGGGCAATTTCCTTTGAAATGGATTTTTGAAGGACAGTACCAGACGGCACGGGTGTGCCGGTATTGCGCCTAGCCCGCGTGTTGGAGGTTGCTACATACACCCGCTATTCGGTACGGTATTCATAAATGACTCGGCATGGGCACGGGAGGGCCAATGTCTTGATAGAACCCGGATGGATGGATGTTCGAGAAGTCTCGATGAGATGAAAGACATGCATACACATTCTCGATGACATGACTGAGCGAGTTATGATGGCCGACGACATCCCGAGACTCGAGGTGGCGTCAAGACATATGGACCCTGTCGATA